TTCATTCTGCAAGTCCAATGCTGCAGGCAAAGCCATGCTGCAATGACATGCTACGTGGCAATGCACACTTGTTTTGACATCGTAAAAACCCATGTCTAGTTGTAATTGTTGTTAGCTTAGAAKAAACTTTTACTGTGTACCGGCTGTTTGCACATATGCGCTTTCACAGCTGCAGGGTGCTTCTCACCTCCACGGGGGGTGCTCCTGAAAATCTCAGCTCTCAGACCAGGATTCAGAAACCTCCGTTTGAGAGAGAACGACAGCTGGTGTTGTGTACATGATCSGTCGAACTGCAGCAAAAAACCTGCAGTTTAGTTTCCTCTTCAGCTTGACCAGTTTCTGTCCACCTGGGGGCACTATAGATCTACATTTGACAGTGTCCATCTCTGCAGTGTGCAAATGTAAAAAGCAACCACCTCTATCTTAAGTAAAAATGGTATAATGTTATACAAATATGTCGTTTCAGTCTTTTGCTCAAACTCTCCTGAGAGCTTTCTGTGGGGAAACTTGTGTTTTGTAGAACTTAATTAACARTTAGTAACTGAGTGATTAAATAACTTTCACATTAATTTGTTGCACTGTTAAAGATATTAATTAATGCGACATTTTTTGATGTTAACTGATTAATTTATTTGTTTTTTAGAATCAAATGGAGGAGCAGTACGGGGAACATTATGCTCAGAAAGTCGAGGACAGGCTGCTGCACTATCTGCAGGAGCTGGAGTCTGCTCTGCCAGGAGACACCTACATCGATAAGGTGTGTGTATGTTTGGGTGTGTGTGTGTGTGTGTGTGTCTTCATCAAGACTGGTTCTTATTACTGGAGGTGACGTTTTACCGGCGTGTGACTCAGATTCTGAAGAAACACAGTCCTGTGACGGAGGAGGAGAAGTTACTTTTGGACGTAATAACGTCCGACTCTACGACTATCGCAGCAACTCTGAGGAAACTGCTGCACTGCGGTGAGAAACAAGTTCATGTTGTGTCTCTGTAAAGTTTAACAGCACCATCTGTTTTAAAAAACATTTTTGTTTTGATTTCATTTTTTGCCGCCTCTTAGTTGGATTTGCTCTTATTTGTATTTCATTATGTCACAAAGTTAAAGAAATTTCTGTTTCATAACGATGCAGCAGGTTCAAAAGGTTGTTAAAACTTTGTGAAAATAGTTTTTTTTAATTGCTTTCTGAAGACTCTGAAGTTAAGAAATTCACCCGCTTCGGATGTTATCATCCATTAAATGGACGTTATTAGCCGTTATCAGTCCCATAGAATGGCTTCAGACTGTCACCTGGTTAGTATGAGGCATAAAGCCACTAAGGTTAATTTTAGAGAAAATGACATGGCCTACCATAAAGTAGACTGGACTCTGGCGGTAGCAGATTGTTGCATTCCAACGTATATGGTACTGGTAACCCACTAGGGGGCACTGTCAGGACAGTCTGAAGCCATTCTATGGGGCTGATAACCACTAATAACGTCCATTTAATGGACTGATAACATCCGAACCGGCTGAGAAACTTCACCTAAGTGAATAAACATGAGGTTTTAGAGTTAAGTTTGTTGATGTGGTTCATGGTGTTTCCTCAGACGTTGCCATCCGTCGTCCAGAAGCTGAAGTCTCTCAGCTCTCTAAGTCATCTCTGTGTGGGAGCCCTGCAGAGTCAGAACAGAGTCCCCTCTTGTTGGAGAATGAAAACAGTTCAGAAGTTCGAGAAGGGCAGCAGCCAGAGGACGAGGCTGAAAGAACCCTGGAGGACAGGAGAAATGAAAAAGAGGAAGAGTTGAGTCAGAGAGGCCGAGGCGGTGGTAAAGAGGTCTCCTCCTCGCCTCAGTTCTGCTCCAGACACCAGCGCTGGGTGAAGAACATCCTGCGAGGATGTCTGGATGAATGCTCCGAGGAGCTGCTGTATCAAACTGGTGGTTCCTCGTCTCCTGTGTTGTTCCAGTCGTCTTCCTCCGCCTCTTTATCACCAGACCTGACCCCGTCTGACCTCGTCCCCTCTCTTACTCGTCAGCCACCTTCACAGACCTCCACCAGTTCACAGGCATCAAAAACCTCAAACCCGGGACARAGAAGTAGCTCAGGATCTCCTGGAGCAAACGATCCGTCTCAAAGAGAACCTCCAACAAAAAACACTCCACYTCTGCTGTCACCGGTGGTCCGACTGGTGGACATCGCCTCCTTCTGGAGGAGACACCAACACGTTTCTTCTAATCCTGCGACTGTTTTCATTCCTGAACAAACATCTCCTCTGTCACTCCGCTGTGAATCGGGAAGCAAAGACTCCGTGTCTGTTTTAGCAGAAACTCGCCCAAACGTGCAAACGTCGTCTGTAACTCGGGATGTATCTGAGCAGAGCAGCCGTCAGCCACCGACTCAACAAACCTGGTCCAAACTGTCACTGAAGTTCAGACGGGCTTGTGCCGGCAGCAGAGCTTCACAGTCTCCTCAACAAGTCGACCATCAGAACTCGGACAAACCTCATCCTGAGACACACGACACCAAACCCGCCTCGTGTCTCCCGGTCTCGTCCTCCAGCTCGTTGCAGCCTTACGTGAGACTCACCCGACTGAGCGTCCAGGAGTGTCAGCGAGCGACTGAAGGCAGAGCCTCCACCGGATGGGAAGAGGCCGACCGACGGACAAATCAGACGCAGGATTCTTCTTTTGGAGAACCTTCTTCGAGCAGCGAGTGGGAGGACTGGACTTCTTCGAGCAGCGACTGGGAGAACTGGGCTGATCCCGACCCTGATTACCGACCTCACGTTAATAAGAAAAGACTTCTGTTGGAGTACGAGAGCGCACGGACACTAAAACAAACATGAGAGCRTGGGAACGTGTTTACTGTAATCTGAATTTTTACTGATGACTGAAAGAGACGTGTCAGTATGTTGACACAAATCATTTTAGTACAGATGTTTTGGGTTTATGGATCCAGAAAACATCTTTACAATGTCAAAATGAACAGAAGGAAACATTGACAAAGTTAGCTGCACTGAAACTTTTACTCTACATTTTAATAAAGATAGTTTGGGAAAGTAGCTATTACAATTTGTGACTGACAATACCCAACACAGCTTGTGTAAAAAATGTTTTTTTTAGGCTGTGGGTGGCACAACGGAGCAGTAGTTACAGCTGTCAGAATCAATGCAAATAAGTGTTTTATAATGTAGAAAAACAACCAGGAGATTTCTTAAATGTACTTTGTTTCATAAAAATGTGACATAGTGGTTAAAATGAACATTTTTGCAGAAAATTTGACTGAACTGAGCAGAGAGATATTCAACATACAAAAACTATTAAAACCAGCTGCATGTTTCTTTATTTAGTTTATATAAATCATTCTAGATACAAACTTTTATGTAACTCGGACATCATAGATCATAGATCCACTGTAGAAACATTATTAAACTTATTTTTTAAATAAAGGCGGCCTCGTGTTTTAGAAAAGAATAAGAGAATACTTAGTCTAGTTCTGTGATCAGCCCAACATGTGAGGGACTTAAAATAAAATTTAAAAAAAAGAACAAGAGAGGAAAATTACTAAAAGTCAACACTGAGGTCAACAGAACCCTCCTTTGCCTCTTTATCTCTGCAAACGTATTTGCTCAGAGGAATTGAATGGTCCAGCCTCTGGAGGTGGAGGTCACCTGAGGACACCAGCTTCTGGATTTTGACCCCGGTATTGATCAGGAAATGTAACCTTGAACGGAACAGCTCCTCCCCAAAAAAAGAGTTAAACACTGATGGAGTTACATGTTCAGCGGCTCGTTTGAGTTTTGCAGAAACTGATTATATAATGAGATTTTCAACCATGTCTGGGGTTTACAGAAACAAAAATGAAAATAAAAAATCTAAATAATGCAGTGTATTCTCTTGCATAAAGAGTTGTTTTCTTCACAGCATTTCAAATCATTATGCAAATGTTTTTTCTCTGAAATCCCTAAATCCTCATCCTTTTCAAGTCAAGTTAGAGAACACTCAAAAAACAGATTGTTAGATTTACTTAACCAAGTTAAGTCAACAGTTTCTACTCAAGTGAGTTGAGTAAATGTAAAGTATTTTGCACATTTGTTTTGAATTTAGAAAATGTAAAAATTTGATCATTTGAACATTATTAAAAAAAACCGCCCAATGATAATATATTTTTCAAAAAAAAAAAAAACTGAAAATGCACTGTTCCGAATTATTACGCATAACAGAGTTCCAAAACATTTTACAGGCTTTAAAGAACTAAAAATATTAATTTGTTGAATTAGCAACAGTAGGAGAGATCAAACAGTATTTACCTAAATCAAAAACATTTTAATAACTCAATTTGAACTGATGAGTTTTTGGAGAGCGGCGGTTTGGATGTGAACTGCCTCCAACCTTCAGACATCTGCTGTTTGACCCTCCAAAGGTTCTGAACAAGGGCTGAGTTCAGAGGAGGATGAGGGGGTCCACACCAGGGGTTTCTCTCTTTTTATGCCCATAGCAGCCGATGATGCAGAGGTATTCCTCGCAGCATGAGATGCTGCGTTGTAATGCATGAAGACAACTTTAGTCTACATGTACTGCACTGTTTCTACTTCTGAGCATTAGTTAGGAGCAAATCCCTGAAGGATCCTGGACCTTGATGTTCGTGGACCTCCCAGAGCAGTTTCAGATATTTGCTGCTTGGTAATGGCCTTTTAGTAGCTGCTCTCTTTGTCTTCCTCGTTGTGCTCCGAATCAACCACAATTCTCTTTACGGTACGACAATCACGTTTAAGTTTTCTTGAAACGTCAAAGGTTTTCATTTCTTGTCCAAGACGTTCAACTTTTTCTTTCCCATATTGGTTGGAGTTTGTGGTTGCTTAATGTGAGCGGTTTCTATTTAAACTGTGCTCACCTGGTAAACTAATAATCACAGGTGATTGATTTAATTCATCCAAACAGTCCTGAGATACAACACTATCCACGAGTTTAATTGAAAAACTAAAAATGGAATCTTTGACACTTAAATACAGTTTACACGTTAATTTGGAATGCAGTGTACAGATGTTTACGCTTTATTCTGCTGCTTTTATTCATTTCTGGATTCTGAAGAAGCTCTAAATGCTTTCTGAGTGTTTTGTCAGAACTGTGTTTTGGCATGTTGATTTAACACAAAGTGACCAGAAACACCCCTACAGTGAAACATCACAACATGTTTTTGTGAATGGAGCTGTCAGGTTAACTAACCCGGTCATCCCCACCGTGAATGAGTAACTTTCTGTTTAAACCACAAGTTTGACTCATCGTGCAAATGTGGACTCGCGCCGTACAGAAACACGTCAGCCAAATGAACAACAAACTAACGTCTGCGCCATTCATCTCCAGCTGTGACACAAATTACACAACATCTGGAGCGCATGTCTTCGAGCTCCACAGGCAGCAGATAAATCAGAAAATACAAATCCTGAAATATACTTGGCGCAAAAACTGAAGAAATGTGTGTTTGGTAGATTTTTTTCTTAATTCTAACAATGCTTCTTGGCAATACATCTTAATTACCCTTTTAAAAGATGCCACATTTGTAAGAAACATGCATTTTTGGGATGATCATGTGGCCTCACAGATAAAAAAATTTGTCAAATCTTTGTTGCTATTGACCCTAAACTTCTTGTACCCACAGGTGCTGCAAATCATAATTTTTATTTCCAATAAGCATTGTTACAAGAAAGAAATAATCTACCAAACACAAATTTTAATATTTTTTATGCTATGTTTAATCCACTTTTTAAAAAAAAGCTTTAAGCACATTTTTGGGAAGAATTTGAGTAATTAAAATTCATATTAGGGAATAAAAGCAGCTTAGATGTCATCCTTAAAATATCTTAAAGTCATATTTGAAATCATTTGATCAGAATGTTTGGATGAGATGTTCCAGAAGATGGTTGTTACTGTAAATACAGTACAATCAAATGGAGTGACGTTATTCCGGTGGACGTTTTTCCACCCCTGCTGTGTCCTCTCTGGTCCTGACGTCCAGGAGACGGGCCCCGCTGCAGGAGCCAACAGGCTGGGCTGTATGTTGGGTGAAACTGGGCCCCTCCCTCCTCTCAGACCTGTTCTGAGTTTGGGTTGGTATGGTTCTGATTAGCGATGTAAAGGGGGGTGTAAATGGCACAACCTCCATCCTCCACCAATAGAAACCACGGCAGGACCAGACACCCATATTCACTCATCTTATCTCTATAAATACATCCTGGGGTCCTGTTTGAACATTTTGGTTGTCAGACAAAAACCTGCGCCRCTTCTTTTCTTTTTAGAGACTTGGTGTTGAACGTTTCATGAGGTAAGAAGATTTTTTTCCTCTTAAATTTGATTATTTTAATTAATTATTAGATAAAGTATTGTCGCTTATGCAGATCCATGGCCATGTTCTACAACTGAGGTTTGGATTAATCTGTTTTGTGCACTTTTCTGAATGAGGCTTTTGTTTTTAACAGTTGTCTCTGATGTTTTGTGAAATGAATGATTTTTATTTTCTGTTTGTGTTCCCTGTGCTTCTTGTGTCATTTCCTCGTTTTCTTCCAGCCAGTCATTCAGTTGTTACTTCCAATCAGCCCAGATGCCTCCATTGTCTCATTAGTCCCTGATCTTTATATTCAATCTGTTTTCCCACTCTCATCAGTCCTGGTTTATCTCTTTCACTTGGTTTCTGTTTCTCCTGATAAAGCCTTGTAAGTTTGCCACCGCGCCGGCCTTTTGCTTAACCATTTCATAGAGTTTTCATTTTCCTTCCTCGTGTCTGTCTCTATCTGGGTTCCAACCACAAACAAAACCTAATAAATTAGTCTTTTTAAATAGCACTTTCAAAATAATAGTTTGATATAAATAAGCTAGGAAATTAAAAACCAAAAATTTTATTATATATATTTTTAATTTAGTAATCTTCCACTCTTGCTTCATTATGGGGAGCTGTAGTTTTTTTTAAAGTTGGTAAAATTCCCAGTTGTTTGAAATCATGTCAAAAGATGAATTTTAAGCATAGATTTAAAAGCCTCAACAGTCTCAAAGGTTTGGGGCAGAAACTGCAAAAAAAAAAAAAGAAGTGCAAAAGCCTGATCACCTCTACATTTTAGCCTAGATCTAGGAACATCTGTTGGATGACCCAAGTTAATGAGATTACACGTGTAAGATGGGGCCAGACCTTTTAAAGCTTTAAAAGTAAAGCAATCCTAAAATCTATCCTAAAGTGAACAGRAAGCCAGTGGAGAGAAGCTCGAACCGGGGATATGTGTTTGAAACAAAACGTGACACGAACACCTTCTTAAAGATCTAACTGGTCTTTTTTTAATGCTTTATTGGTTTGTTTCTGGATTGTTGTTATGAAAAAGTTCTGTGCACAAACAGTTGCGCCTTCTCTTCCATCGCAGCTGCAGGATGGACAACAAGGCCTACTTGGTTCAGATGAATGGCGATGGAGTTCACGGCAAAAACATGGTCCAACCCAAATCCCTGATCGGGACCGGAGTGGCCGGGAAGGGGATGCTCGGGAACGGCGTGCACCACGTCAACGTGAACGGCAGCTTGTATCCCGCCAAGGCCAAGAGCCGCCGGCAGAGGTGGGAGGTGAAGGCCTCGGAGATGGCCAACAACACGCTCAACCCCATCAGGGCCATCGTGGACGGGATGAAACTCAGCCCCAACCCTGACAAACCCATGATCGCTCTGTCCATAGGTAGGGGGGCTCTCTGGTGGTTTGATTTGTTGTACACTTTCAAGCTTTTTATCCTGTAAATGTTTTTAATCTGTGGATTTCAGGCGATCCCACCGTGTTTGGAAACCTGCCTACAGACGATGCCGTCCTTCAGGCCATGAAAGACGCTGTGGACTCTCAAAAGTTCAACGGCTACGCTCCTTCTGTGGGTGAGTCGCGCTGACGGACAGATGAATGAAGCAGAAGAAGCAGCYGTGAGTTTCTGCTCACCGTGTTTGCATGTTCACAATACTCACCTGCAGGTTACCTGAAGAGTCGACAGGCGGTGGCCAACTTTTACAGCTGCCCTGAAGCGCCCCTGGAAGCAGAGGTAATGCATGAGTTTATGCAATCTGCAGGATCGAAATGATGTGTCATAACCACTGTAGTCCTGCCAAAACAAATAAAAGCCACGATGCTTTCAGCTATGAAAAGTCCTCTCTCTCTCTGTTCCAGGACGTGATTCTGACCAGCGGCTGCAGTCAGGCCATTGAACTGGCTATCGGCGTCTTGTGCAACCCCGGGGACAACGTTCTGGTTCCATGCCCCGGCTTCTCCTTATACAAAACTCTGGCTGTTTCCACGGGAATCAAGGTCAAACTTTACAACTTATTGGTAAGTGGAAGGACTGGATTGGATCTTTGTACCAAAAATACTCATTTAGCTTTTCAGGACCATCATGTTTGGCAGAATAAAAATGATTAAAACCTTGAAGTGGACAGTTACCCTCAGTATAACTAATTTGTAGGGGTGCAACAATACATGTACCCATATTGAACCGTTCAGTAGTGTTTTAGGTTCAATACTTGTATCCAACAATACAGATTTTTAAAATTTACTTCATCAGCTTGTCTTCTGAAGATGCTCTGTGTTGAAGGATCAGTGGATCTGAGTTCGACTGCTCCACATAGGCTTCATCTTCGAGTGCAGATCCACTGAGAAACTTGCTGTTTCAACAACATTTAATTTAAAAACTGTACTTTTGAGGTTAAACAAATGCTCATACTTAATTTAAATAAATTATAAGTTAAAAAGGGCATGGAAATTTCTCTTTTTTGTATAGAAAAAAGTATCGAACATTGAATCAAACTAAATCGTGAATTTTCTGTATTGTTGCACTCCTRCTAATTTGAAAAGCATTTTTTATGGTTTGCAATGAAAAAATGTCAAAATATTAATGTTTTTTTTATTTTACAGCCAGAGAAGTCATGGGAGATCGACCTGCAGCACATGGAGAGTCTCATCGATGAAAGGACTTCCTGTCTGATTGTTACAAACCCGTCCAACCCGTGTGGGTCCGTCTTCAGCAAGGAACACCTGCAGAAGATCCTTAAAGGTCAGCTGAACTCCTGAGCCACTGTACTGTTGGTTTGCAAATCATATATTTGTTTAAAGCTTTGTTAAAGCTCTTTTTTTTATTTCCCAGTGGCTTCCAAACACTGCGTCCCTATCCTGGCAGATGAGATCTACAGCGACATGGTGAGCACAGCTGCACGAGAAGACAAACCACATCTCAGCACAGGTTGGCAGGTTGGCTCTGCGCAACACCAGCGAGGCACATTTTTCTCTCCGTGATGAGAGCCTTTCGTTTGGTGGTATTTGGCTCTGGATGGTGGGTTCACAACCCTCAAAATCAGCACGGGGGGGGGATTATGGGACCATGAGCAGGAACCAAAGAGGTCAGCAAGCGCAAGCAGAGGATGTGAGAGCGGGAAATTGTTTCTTATTTGTTTAAAAATGTCTGAAACAAGTGGATAGAAACCCAGTTGTTGACATTTGTTTTAAATTCTGCACAAAATACTAGATTTGATTGGACATGAGGCTGGAGCTGATGGCCAGCTGGAGGATCTGTCAGGTTCTGTTGGGCTTTTGATTAAACTGAATCAAACAATCAGTAGTTCTGTAACTTTTTCCTGTGCAGAGTTTGAGTTTCAGCTTATACTGTATGTCCAACAGCTGTCAAATAAATGTTAAAAAGCTGATCTGAGTGGAAAACTAAAACAGGGGTTGCTAGGTCCATTGAGCTCTTCCAGACCAGAATGACTTAGCACTTTTTTGTTTTGGCTGCATGTGTTTGCAATTAATGGAGAGGTTTGGTTTTGGGGCAGAAGAAAGTGGGAGGAATGGGGAAGGGGGGGGGGTGGTTGTGTGGTGGGGGTGGGGTGAAATTTGAGGGTCTTTGCTGCAGAAACACTCTGGATTATTTAAACTCGTTTGACCCTGCTGTCAGCTCTCCAGAAAAAAAAAATTATTGTCTTTAAATGTATGTTTGTACATTTTAGCACCTTGAGATGCAGAACTGGACGAGTCAGAGCTGAAGACGTTGAGAGACGATAAGTTTAGGAACAAGAAAACTAATATAGGACTGGAAGATAACCTTAAAGACACAAGACTAAGATGATTTGGACATGTCCAGTGGAGGGACAATGGATATGTTGGTTTAGACATGTCCAGATGAGGGACAGTTGGTACATTGGTTTGGACGCATCCAGAGGAGGGACAGTGGTTATATTGGTTGGGATGTGTCCAGAGGAGGGACAGTTGGTGTATTGTTTTGGACCTGTCCAGAGAAGGGACAGTGGTTATACTGGTTTGAACATGTCCACAGGAGGGACAGTTGGTGTATTGGTTTGGACGTGTCCAGAGGAGGGACAGTATTGGTTTGAACGTGTCCAGAGGGACAGTATTGGTTTGGACGTGTCCAGAGGAGGGACAGTTGGTATATTGGTTTGGACATGTCCACAGGAGGGACAGTTGGTATATTGGTTTGGATGTGTCCAGAGGCGGGAAAGTTGGTGTATTGGTTTGGACATGTCCNGTTGGTGTATTGGTTTGGACATGTCCACAGGAGGGACAGTTGGTGTATTGGTTTGGACATGTCCACAGGAGGGACAGTTGGTATATTGGTTTGGACGTGTCCAGAGGAGGGACAGTTGGTGTATTGGTTTGGACATGTCCAGAGGAGGGACAGTTGGTGTATTGGTTTGGATGTGTCCAGAGGCGGGACAGCGGGTTTATTAGTTTGGACGTTTCCAGATGAGGGTTAGTGAATAAATTGGTTGGTTTGGACGTGTTCAGAGGAGGGACAGTGAGTAAATTGGTTTGTTTGGACATTTCCAGATGAGGGACAGTGAGTAGTTTGGATGTGTCCAGAATAAGGACACTGGGTTTATTGGTTTTAATGAACAGCTGAAAGAAAACGGCTTGTTGTTACACCACTTGTCTCCGTCTGTCCAATAAGACATGGGGCAGTGTCCCGTCTCACGTCATCTATACACGGCTTTAATGAAAAACAGATTTTCGGTCGGAGCGTTCTGCTTTAACTGCATTGTCTCACGCTATAAGCTGTTTTCCCTTTGTTCTTTTTTTTTTCTTTAGACTGAAAGTTACATAAGACAGAAAACACATAAAACTACAGCTTTAGGAGTAAACAAGCAAGATTCCTATTTAAATGTCTGTTAATTCTCTATTAAGTTTGATAGTTCCCTGAATAAACTAAAATGCTGTAAAAATATTAGTAAATAGATAAGTACAGGAAATAAAATCTCTCTGCAAATTCACTTTATTTTTAAAGGATAAATTAAACAGATATTTTACCACTGATGACAAAAATGCTCCTTTTTTAAGAATTAAAGATTAAAGTTTTATTAACATACTTTTGGTTGCAGATTTATGTCCAGCTGTTGATAAACTCACTGAATGATTATGATAGCAAAAATTAGATTTTTTTTACTTCTTTTACTTTTTAAAAAATCTATTCAGTTTCTATGACCCTGTTTTATGCAGACATTTATTTAGATATTAAAAAAATTTCACTTAATATTTTTTGTTTGCTAAATTAATCTTTTAGGAACGTGTTGGATGTTGTTTTCATTGGAGCAGTAGAATCTGTCAAACAGCAATATTTTAGGTGACAAATGATTTCGAAACATAAATGTTTTGTTGAATTTTCTGATGAAAAAATAAAATATTACAACAAAACTACGATTATTATTAAAAATCTCATCTTTATGAGAACCAGAGAAAACCCAAATAAATACAATATTTCTGGAAAATAAATCTTTGAGTCAGTATAGTTTTAATAAAGATCAACATTGCCCTAATTAAACAAGAAACATTGTGGTGATTTAGGTTTAAGTTCCTCTTTATGTCATGTTTATGTTTCTCTTGTCTGCAGGTTTTCCCAGGATGCAACAGTCCGTCCTTGGCTTCCCTCAGCAGTGATGTTCCCATCCTTTCCTGTGGCGGTCTGGCTAAACGCTGGCTGGTTCCTGGATGGAGGCTGGGTTGGATCCTCATCCATGACAGGAATGACATATTTGGATCTGAGGTATATAAATGTGATTGATTGATTGATTGATTGATTGATTGATTGATTGATTGATTGATTGAATCAAGTAAAAACTGTTTTATGGGATTACGTCAAGTTGGTATCCCGGACGAGACCCCAATGGTCCAATTCGGAGATCATTATCTAAGGAAGAAAAAAAGCTTCCAGACTTTTAAACTGTGATTTCATACAACGCAGTGAGTTTTTCTTTCTTTTTCTTTGTCATGTTTCAGATTCGACAGGGTTTGGTGAAGCTGACTCAGCGTATTCTGGGAGCCTGCACCATCGTTCAGGGAGCTCTGGAGAGCATCCTGAATAACACGCCTCCAAGCTTCTACAGCAGCACCATCAGCTTCCTGAAGGTATGGAAGGGAAATCTTTACAGGATGTTTTTATTTGTACTGATGTTTTATTTTCTCCCTTCGTTTTATTTGTCACTCAGGAACAAATTCAGTGTTTTGGAATTGAACTGAATTGTTCTGCTGGATTTAGCTTTTAGCTGCTATTTGCTAATTTGACCTTTTGCTCAGCTTGTTTTAACAAAGTCAGTAGTTCACAGGGTGTTTTTGCAACAAAATGTAGTTTTTTGAGTTTGTTTCTGAACAGAGCGTCACATAAAACTGGACTTTTCTTTTTCTCCTCAGTCAAATTCAGAGATTTGTTTCAGTGAGCTGTCCACCGTCCCCGGCCTGAACCCTGTCATGCCTTCAGGAGCCATGTACCTCATGGTCAGTACAAAACACCTGAGATGTGGATTAAAACACTGAAAAGACAAAAACAGGAATTTATTTGCACATTAATACAGGTTGGGATCGAAATGAACCACTTTCCGGATTTTAAAAACGATGTGGACTTCACTGAACGACTGGTGACGGAACAATCCGTCTTCTGTCTGCCTGCTTCGGTAAGACGTCGCAAATTTAACTCCTCATTTTTGTTCCTACAAAATAAAACTGATAGTAAAAAAATAAAATGTTTTTGTCACCTGGCAGGCGTTTGAGTATCCCAACTTCTTCCGCATCGTGGTGACGGTTCCAGAAGAGATGATGGTGGAGGCCTGCGCTCGGATCAGGGAGTTCTGCCAGTGTCATTATCAGCCTCTGAGCTGCGAAGACCTGGACCAGTGATTCAGCCGAGCAGAACTGGACCAGCAGAACCTACTCCGCTTTAAAAATCTCACCACACTAAAATATGAAACGTATAGAAATCTGACGACGACGTATCTGGCTGTGTAACTTTTCTAAACAAGAAGACCTAATATTTATATTTTTTATAGGCAACTTATCACTTTCATCTTCTTTTTTTGTATATTTATATAATTTGTGTAACACTTTGTGCTTCAGGAGGTTTATCGTCTGATCACACCTCAGAAAGTATTTGATAATCTGAATATTCATTCATCATCTTCAGTTTTTTATTAAATTGCATTTTAAACAGCATTTATTTGAACTTTCTCTGTGTATTGTTATGTGTTAATTACATTATTTTGCATGCAGCTTACTTGTATATTTCTTGTTTGTCTTTCAAACATACTATTTTGTACAGTAATTTTGTTTATAGTAATAAAACTATAACACTAATGCTGTTGCTTGATCTTTACATTGATTTTGTTTTTATTATTTTTTTCAGTTTTTGTCTGATTAAACAGCAACAAAACCGAAATCATTATTGGATGTTAAAGTGCCTGTGACATACATGTCCTTCAAATACACAATGTCAAGCAAAACAACTTTATATTTAAGAAATGTGGCAAAATGCACACAACTTTACCCATTTTGTCACAAACTGGTATATTTTCTTTTGAACTTGGCTCAGCCAAAATAAATACAGGAAATGACATCAAAGGGGAACTCTTTAAGAAAAGGAATTGTTTTTTGTTTATTGAAACAAAATTATTTGAACTTTGACTCTTCTTCATTTCTTTGACTCAAAATAATCTAAAGAAACATCAGAATTTTCTCAACAGTCTCAGTTCTGTTCTCTGACATCACTTCCTGTTACTTTTGTGACTATTTCAACAACTGTTCATCTCAGCTACGTCATTTTTTTGCAATATATTATCAATCTTATCTTTTCAAAAATTAATTTGTATTTATTACAAAAAAATTGACGTCACATGCACTTTAATATTGGTCCAGTTTTACTTATCGGACTGATATTGGTATGCTAAAAATGTACCAACATCAGCCAATACCCATGTTAATGTCTACATATAGGGCATCGCCACTCATGACTCCTATTTCTTTTTGACTTGTTTTCATTCCAGCTTGTTATTGTTAAAAAAATATGATCCAAATAAATTGTGTCACCTGAATATCGTGAATTTAATTGTGGATGGACAAAAAGTATAAACACATATGTAGCCTGCTGGTGCAGCTGAAACAGGTAGGCTATATGATCCTTAAGTTTTAAACATTAACATTTTAACATGACATTAAAGTCGTTTTAGCCTTTAGAAAAGTTTTTGGGGAGGTCATTCCTATTAAATGTCTTTTTGCAAAATCTAACCACTTATTTTTACTCAATACTTTTACTTTTGATTCTTAAGTACATTTTATAGCAGAAATTTACTTTTGATATTTAAGCACAAAAATGTCAGATAATTGAAGACTTTTAAGTAATGTTTTTAGAGGAGACTTTAGCTTTAACCAAAGTAATTTTATAATAAGATATTTGTACTTTTACTCAAGTATCACTTTGAGGTAATTTATAAAACACTGGTTTCAACTGTATTTTAGTTTAATTGTGTTGATTTCAGATTCTAGAGTCTTGGCAGGAGTCATAGTCACAGAACAGTACAACATTACCATCTAATGTTAAACTCACAACCCTACAGCACAGTTTGCACGCAGGTCACTCTGTGTGTGTGTGTGTGTG